TCAATATGTGAGGAGAGTATTAATGCTGGAGATTCTAAATTATGTTATCCAAAAATGGGTAAAAACATCACTTGCTTTATGAACACACATGTTGAAAATGTTTCTTCTGTACCAGCTAGATGTGATAATAACTGCCCTGCTGTAAAAGGATAGATTGGTAGTAATGAAGATAGAATAAATTACTCAAGTCCAAAACCAGTTTATGGTGATTACATGCACAAATCACTCGCCATATATGGTGGTCATATATTAATACCTCAATGTGTTGTGAATTCAGTTGGATGTGTGAATTCTAATGAAAATGATGTGATTCAGGTACAAAAAAGGTTTGTTGAATTATTGTATAGAATTACTGCTTCGGGAGTTATGGCTAGACGAAGCTTGTTGTCAAATCGTGGCATAATAATGAATGTTCAATCTGTGGAGAAAGGAGAAGCTAGTATAATAATTAAGTTTGAAAAGAGATATTATTTGACAGTTATCGCAATGGTTTGTTTATGTTTGATTGTATTTTTATTGTGGCTTATTATTGGTAAATTGATTTGTAAATTTGATTGTAAAAATCAAATAACAAGTAAATGGTTATTAAAAAAAACCACTGATATTAAACAATGTTCGAACTAATTTTTTAATTACTATTATGATTACATTATTGTTTTTAATTAAGCAAGTTAAATTACTATTAAATTGATCAATTAGATTATTTCAAATTTAAATAACTAATTAACTACTACCATAGTTTATCAAAATTATATTTAATTTAATTATTTACTAATCATCTTTTCTTCTATCTACTGTAATGTAGTGTTCAATATTATAAATACTCTATTTTCATTAATTAATCCCAATTGGTGATGGATAAGAGAATTAATATTTATCACTCAATTTTTTTTTATTTTTACGAAATATTCTTTAAATGGTAATAACGATAAAAATTTTTGTTTACCAAGCATTAATTGTAATCAATAATTTAATTTATTATAGTCTTTGAGTGCCGACACTGTTATAAATTTAATTGTATAAAGGGAGATATGTGAGAATAATTCAATTGCATAATACTATAATTTGTACTAATTGTTTCAACAATAGTATAATTAAATATCCCTATAATAGTTGAGCACTATATATAATATATGATCTACCAAAACCAAATATAATATACAATAATATTTATCAATAAAGTTAGTTCAAAATTTTTTTGGTAAGACCAAAATGTATTACAAAAATTAAAAACAATGAATTAAAGAAAAACAATTCCAAAAGACTAAAAAATTTATCAAATTCAATAACAGAATTGGTGCAAAATTGGTGCCAAATTTTAAATTATTAACTTCAATGCTTCTCTGATAGTTACAGAAAAATTAAATTGCAAGTCATCAAGTTATTTTATTCTCAATTAAAAATAATTAAATTTGAATTAAACAGTCAAAGTATTACAACAAAAAAAATTTATTTAATTATAAACTTGAACTAAATCTAATAAATATTCTTAAGAAAACATATTTTATAGTTTTTATTTTTTTAAATATTCTTTTTTAGAACTTTTAATGATCATATTATTAGCTAAATTTTTTTGATATAAAGGTAACCTCTTGGCTATCTTTTTTATTCAATTATAAGTTAACTTTACAGTATATTATAGTATATTATATATATATTAGAAAATATATACTAGTCATATGATTGTCTATTTAAATAGTTCATTTATTATTAAGTTTATACTAGTTATTATGCCTATAATCTGACTAGAAGATTACTTATTTAACCTCTCTGCATCTATGAGATTATTTTATAATTAAACAAAAGTACTAGTAATCTTTATTTTTAGATATCTAGCTTAAAATTTAAAACTTTATAGCAGACTTAACTATTTTAGAGAGCTTTTTATCTTCAAGAATAAATCTGTTAAAGCTTTTTATATCTACAGTTCTAGGGGTTGGACCTGAGTAGAAATCATTGATATATTTCATAATAAATTACCCAGATATCTGAGTAATTTAATAATACCCGGGTAGAGATTTTTTCAACAGGTTTAACCTCTATACAGTTCAGTTAATCTAGGCTTCAGTAACTTATGTTAAGTTTGTACTTATTAGCTAAATTTTTAATATTTTTGTTATTTAATATAAAATAAATAAACTAAGTAATAAAACAATATATTTAAATTTTAATATTTGTTATTATACTGTAATATGCTTAATCAGATATAATATATATAATTCTTTAATTATTATATTAAGATTATAAGAAAATTAATTAATAATACTTTAACTATATATAAATAAGCAAAAACTTTGTTTTGCTAATTCTTAATAAATCTGAATATTATTATTACTAAAAATATAGACAAATTCATTTTTTATTTAAAATAAAATTTAATATTTTTTATTTTATGATTAACTAATCAAATTCAATTATGTAAAGAAAAAGTTTTATAAAGAAATTGCTATTATAGTATACAAAATTATATAATATAATATTATAAGCAAAAATTTGTTTAATTAGTTAATTTTTTATAGATATATATAATTATTTGTAATAATTAGACAAGTAAATTATATAATTTTTTTTTTTTTTTTTTTTGGTGTTAAGGTGGCCTCTTGGCCGGCTCCTTTTATTCGGTTATAGTTAACTTTT